GTACAGTATGATGGGATAAAATATCATTTTAGAGCCCCAGATTTAATTCAAGTCCAGTTACTTTTGTTTATCTACCTCGTTTTCAGTGCTGTTTTGGGGTGCACAAGTAAATTGCCTGTGAAACTTGCTTTTTTTCGCCTTGATTCTCAGTATTCTTTCAGGTTATAAATCTGGCCTGCCTCCTTGTCCCAGTGCTCTATGAGTTTGAGATAAGAGGGACCATCAGTCTGCCGCCAATCTGTGTTTAAGCGACGAGAGCCATGTGAAATAAGCTTTGGGGATTTGGGGATGGAGCACAGAGAAATATATTCAGCTGGTGGCAATATAGGACTTAGTTGTAGGAGTTAGTTGTGAAGCAGACAAATGATAAAGTACCTAAATTAGACAGTTCAGTGCCTGTAAATTTGCATCTTTTATTAGAGATGCATTTTCTCATTTGTGTGCCTAAAGGGCTATGGGTTGAAATTGCTTTAACTACCACAGTGAAATATTTGACAAATCCTATAGCTGTGGCCTGTCTTTTAGCATATATAGCATACTGCTAGATATTTACAGTGATATTTTGTTACCTTCAAATAGCAGTATGCTTTTAGTTGAATTGTAGTTGGTGGTAACTGTTTATCCAATCTCTAAAATTTATTGGTGGCATTGACTTTCTTCTTTGCTGTCTTTTCTGAGAAATGAAAATGATGCATTCCTTTTTTTCCCAAAACACTCAGCAAATGTTTGTAAACCATGTGTTCCTTGTTTCACATGTTCACTGTATCTAACACTACAGAATATTTAATGGCAGTAAATACTGTATTTCAGGCTTCATGCACAACTACATTCCTGAGGTATATTTGCCATCAGTTTGGGATTCGATTATTTAATCATTTGTTTGGTTCAGAAAAACTTGAGATATTTGAGATGGTTTGCAGGCCATTTTCTATAATAGATTGTTCATTTTTCATTCTATAGTTTATTGCGGACTTGTTTCTCCCCTCTTTGTTTAGAAGATGAACAAGAAGAGGGGGATACATAGAAAAGGCCATTGATTTGGTAAATGTAATTCTGGGATTGAAATTTAAAAAAAAAAAATCCAGACTGTAAAATGGTGACACTCAAACTTGGTAAACCCTTTGAAATGAAATTACTATGAAATTTTTATGGAGCCAAATGCTTTCTGGTCACCCTGGAAATAGTCTTTGTGTGTGAAGGATGAACACAAACATTGGTCAGGTCTTGACAGCCAATATAGGTAGGGGCCTGGGATAGTAACTAGGTTACACTGAAGTTATTTTCAGTTGAGATAGCTACAAGTGTGTACAAATCAACAGCTCCCATTCTGGAAGGTTTTCTTTTTTTCTTAAAAAAAAAAAAAAAAGCCCTCAACAAAAAAGGCTACAAGTCAAGCAAGAAGGGAAGAGAGAAACTGGGCTCTTGAGAAAAAAATGTGCCGGTGTAAAATATACTCTTAAATGTGTGCTTGTCATCCTTCCAGTTTTGTTTTTTAAGCAGCATTTCTTTTTCACTGTAACTTAAGATTTCAGTTTGAGGTTTGTGGTCCAGAACATACCCTCAGCAGAAATAATGACTGATGGGAAAGTGCAGTTGTTCAAGGTCTGTCATGCTAAATCACTTAAAGCTGTAATTTCTTTGATACGAATATTAAGCATGTAGACCTAGTACAGCATGGGAGTCACTCAGGAAGTTTATGCATTTAATAAACTTTCATGCATAATTTACTTTGAAGTATGTAGATTTTCAGTCATTTCTTTACATTTAACATTTAGTTGTATATGTGAACTCTCCTTTATTAATTGGGGAATGTAGCATTATATAGAATGTTGTTAAACTTAATTTTAATCCTTCTTGACATAAACTTTTTTTTTTTTTTTGATAAACTAAGTGATCTGCCTTTAAGCAGTTGTTGTCTTATTTTGGTTATTTGAAACTGTGATTTTTATTTTATTTGTACCCAACCATTTTAAGTTTTTTGTTTCCTGGAAATTTTGTTTTGAAACAAAATAAAGGCTGTCTTAAAATGAGCATGTTATTTTACTAAAATGCTGTCATAGTCACTGCAGTCATCTGGCTTAAGCTGATTCTTCATTTACCAAATGTAATTTAGCAGATTAAAAAAAATTTTTTAGTCCTGTAGGTTATGCTGGCTGAGCAAACTAACCAAGCTCTGTTACCTCTTGATTTATAACTCCAACAAATTTTGAGTTGGACCTCTTTTCCACACTTGTCAATGATCAATAATTGTCATAGTCACTTTGATTTACTGAGTACCTACTGCATTAGCTAGGCTTTTACCTGTGATATTTTTAATTCACAAAACAATCTTATATACTAGGTCTGTTACTATCTCCACTTTACAGAGAAAATTTGAAGATCAGAGAGATTAGAAATTCACCAAGGTTACACAGGTAGTAAATGGTGAAACCTGGATCCAAACCTAGGCCTGTCTGACTCCAAAGCTCATGGGAGAAACCCCAGGCCACACTGTCAGGCGTACTGCATGAAAAATAATCCACATACATTTACAATAAATAGGTTTTCATCGAATTACTAGGATTAGTGTGTACTCTATTTACATATCTTTCATGAGGTTATATCTTGTACTCATTTCATAACTTCAGTAGAAGTATATGTGGTAAAAGCAAGGATTCAAAATGTCCCCTTTGCACAAACTTAATTGAGTATTTCCTTTCATATTGATAGTGATTTACGGTCCACCTTTAGAAACTGGTGCATTTAGAAATCTCCCCACATCTTTCATTTACCATACTACAATGACTTAGGAAACTGTTAAATGAGGTCAGATCACTTGTTCATTTGATAATTTAGGTAGAAGTATCATGCATATTTTTATACAGAAGGCTGTGGGGGAAGAGTAAGAGGCCTATCAGAAATATTCGAGATTAGGTAGAGATTTTTTTAAATGTTTTTAAAAATCTATTACCTTGATTTATTGACCCAGGGACTCTGAGGTGTTCTAAGGGAGGATAGAGGTACACAGTAGAACAAGCATGGGCTTTTTTATTCACAGACCTCTTAAAACCCCATTAGGTGGTTGTATTAAATGAGATATATAAAGGCAGCTACCCCTGTCCCTAATTTGCTAATTGTGCTTATTGTGAGACATCGCTGGTGACTTTCACACTAAACTTGCACTTGGGAAGTCAGGCTGGTTTGGAAATGGGCCCCGATTCTTATTATAGTTAATACAGATACCTTTTGGAGTCCAGCAGACCTGGATTTGTATTTTAGCTTTGCAAACTTGGGACAATTGCTTAACATTTCAACTTCAATTTTCTTGTCTATAAAAAGGATAACTGCCTCGGGACGTTGTTTTAAGACTAAATGAAAAAGCACATAAAGGGCTTAGCACTATGCCTGGCACATAGTAGGTTTGCTCAAATAATAATAATGACTGAACAGACCTTACATATCACTGTTTTAAGAAGAAACAGACATAGAGAGGTGAATAAACAGACTAACCTGTGAGTCAACATGAGGTCTGTAGTTGGAAGAGATTAGGTGATAGAATAAAGTGAGGTTCAGAGGTGAAAGTGTTCAGGTGTGGGGATAAGACAACATACAACCTATTTAAAATGTGCCATCATTGAGCAGCACTAGATAAAAAGTGAGATGACAGAATTAAGTCTGACTAGAGTTGAAGTAGTTGAAGCAATAGTATTTGGGTAAAAGAAGGTAGGTCTTTTGACAGGAGCTTAAGATCAGTGAAGGAGTACAGCACAGACGATGGTCTAAATAGAAGCAGGACCTTGGGATAGATATTTGGAAAGGGCTAGCTCACATGTATGATACAAATGAGGAAATAAGCTCAAGAATTTAACCAGTATTTGTAAGGTTTCTCCATTCTCCATTTCCAGCTCAGAGATTTTCAATCTTGATTGCATATTAAAATCACCTAGGAAGTTATTTTAAAAAATTAGTTTCCTGGTTACACAAAAATGTGAATAACACTACTGAACTGTATATTTAAAAATGGTTAAGACAGTTAATTTTATATGTATTTGACCACAATTTATAATAGAATTAGTGTTTGGGTCTCATCCCTATAATTGGTCTTGTTTTAAAACCTCCCCAGGTGATATATTAGTATCATATGTATTAATGTATATTTTATATATACAGGTGGATCATACATATTAATGTAACTATGGTTGAGAGCCACTGTCATTGTTTTCTTTACTAATCAAATGACCTCCCTGTTAGTAGCCAATTGCTGGTTCAAGAAATTCAAGCAATATGGCAGCCTATTAGATCTAATGAATTATTTCCTGTAACCATATGAGCTTATAGCCTCTCAAACAGATCCCCAAGGATTTGAGCAATAGAGAAAGCTAAGTGGACCCCTTGCAGAAACTGAATAGCTAGTTACTATTTAGGTGGAAGATGTCAGAAGACTGAGTCCAATGTGAACTCTCCATGAAACCTCTTTTCGCTTCTCTTCACCCTTCAAGATAATAATTAACATTTACAAGATGCTTACTGTGCCAGTTATTATGCTAAGCACTTTACTACATCATTTAATCTCCACAAGCTTCTGAGGTAAGTCTCGTCACCATCTCCCTTTCAAGCTCCTTGACTGTCTTGAAACTTGCTTTCTCCTAGTGCCCAGCTTTATTCCTGGCATGTAGTATGTACCAAATCTGTTGCATAAATTAATGAGTCCCTATTTCATAAATACAATAAGGGATCAAAGGGTTAAGTAACTTGTTAAAGTTATACAGCTAATAAGGAGTTGAACTGGTATTGGAACCCAGATCTTGGCTCCAAAGCACACACTTTTAACCACTATTCTGTAACATCTACTACTATCCTCTTCTGCTTTCAGGATTTTGACGTGTTCTTTCTGCCCTTTCCATGGCCTATGTACAGCCTAAAGTTTCTCCTGTGTGTGTGTGTCTATACATACATTCATATATACATACATACATATGTTGATTCTTGTGTGTAAGTAATAAAAACCCAATTTGAACAACTTAAGCCAAAAGGAATTTATTATTCAGATGGCAGTGTTTCACAAAACCCAGGGATACTGCAGATGGGCTTTAGGAACAAATCACGTGCTTGCATATAGCTAGGACTTTTCATCTCCTCCTCCTCAAGCTCAATCCCAAATTCTCTGGAAATGTAAATAAAGAATAGCTCCTGCTGCAGCCACGAAGATGAAGTAGAGAAGGTGGTAGAAAGGGGGTTCTGAGGAGACAAAACAATAGATGTTTACCTATAGTTCTGCTCTTTACTGCCCATAAACACATATTCCATTTTCACCTTTTCTACAATTCCAAAAATGCCCACACCTAACATGACCCTTGGAAATCTGCAAGTCACATGCAACTACTGCACATAAAAGCAACAGTATGAAATGGACATGCCCCTTCCCCGTCTAGTTCAGTGACAATCTAAATGTGGCTTCTCTTGATTCTACAAACTGATAAACTTAATTGCCACCAATAGATCTAACATACTAGAGAAATAATTAGATTAACTACGATTAAAATCTTTTTTAGGAAAGGAGAGGGGTACATCATTATCAGCCATCAAGTCCAAGCATGCGCCGTTTGCACTTGGCCAGGAATAAAGGAAATTATGGGCATAGAAAAAACTCATAAGAATCAATTTATTGATGTACTTTTTGCTTAACCAGTCTGTATGTGGGCCAGGGCATGCTCTAGAACAGTGGTCCCCAACCTTTTTGGCACTAGGAACCGGTGCTCCTCTGAGAATCTCATGACTGATGATCTGAGGTGGAGCTGAGGCTGTGGTGCTAGCGCTGGGGAGTGGCTGCAAATACAGATGAAGCTTCGCTTGCTCACCCACCGCTCACCTCTTGCTGTATGGCCTGGGGGTTAGGTGCCCCTGCTCTAGAAGAGTAGTGATTCTCAAACTCGAGATTGCTTTAGTATCACCTGAGGGCTAGTGAGACCTGCAGAAACTTGACACAACACTCCATTCAAACACCTGCACTAGGTGATTAGACCAAACGTTATTATGGCTTCTGGCAGCCTAAGGCTACATCCCTGGGATGACCCCAGTTCCAATCTGGAAAAGCTCAAGGCTGTCAAAAGAATTTGCAGTTTGTTCTGGCTGACACCTGACTGTAGGTCCCTGACGTTCCCTTTCTTACAGCATTTACTAAGAAGGGCTTATAATAATGAATTCTTCCCCATCCCTTTGAGATGTAGATGTATTTCCTACAACTCCAGAGTGTCTCTCTCAAGGACAATTCTCCTGAAAAGTAATCATCAGGAGAGGTTCCAGTCAAGATGGAAGGGTAGGAAAATGCTGCGCTTGCCACCTCCCATGACCCCATTAAAATTACAACTAAATTATAGATCAGCCTGAAGAATCACCTGAAGACTAGCTGAATATAACTCCTATAACTAATGATATAAAGAAGAGGCCACCTTGAGACTGGTAGTAGGGGTGGGGACTGGCATAAGGCAATTGAACATTGGGAAGGATACCTCAGCTGCAGAGGTCTCCCTGGAGGAGTGAGGGGCCCCATCCCCACACCATGGCTCTTCAGCCCAGGGTTCCAGAGCTGGGAAGAGGAGTCCCCACAAAATCTGGCCATGAAAATCCATGCGGATTCCAACTGTCCATGTGAGATGGAAGGAAGCAGGAAATCCAGACTTTCCCTTAAAGGACCCATGCACAGACTCAATTGCTTGCAGGCACTCACCCTGGGCTCTGGAGTGGGGACAGCAGCTCGGGAGGTGTCAGAGACATACAGGGAAAGACTGAGTTGTGTGGCTTTGGGGCAAGGGCTAGAGAGACAGCCACTGTTGTCCCTTTATTGAGCCCTCCTCTTGTGCAGCCTATAGGTGGGAACATCTTGCCTGTATTGAGCCCTGCCTCCACACAGCCAATACTGAATCTGCATTGGCCTGGTGAGATCCACTCACTCCACGCTGATGACTCCCTCAAATGCTGCCTCACTCAACTTTCAAATTGTTGAAGGCATGTTCGTGGCTGGGGAACCAGCTCCACCCAGCCCTCTTGGCAAAAGCCATCAATCTACAGGCCTTGGCCTTCGGACCTCTGGAGACAATTCCAGTGACAGGCAACCAGCCCCGACCAGAGCTGCAGCATTTCTTGAATAAATCCTGGGTGTCTGTGGGTCTGAAGTGGATGGCAGCTAGCCTCAGTGTGATCTGAGACTTTTGTGAGTGGCCACAGGCTCAGCACTAACACCAAATATAAACCTTCTGTGGCCATGTGAAATTGCTTACTTTACCATGGTAACTCCCTGGGAACCCACCCTACCCAAATTGTGTACCACCCCAAGGATCTATCAGCTGCTGAGCCTTACCGGCAGCCGATAGGCAGTCATAAGTCTTGGGGTGGCCTGGATCTTTTGCTAAGCTGCCCGAAGCCCAGTACTGGTGGCAGCTGGCTTTGGTTCACAGCATGGCCTCTCCCACTTGCCTCTAGGTCTGGTATAGGCAGTGACCAACTGCGTATTGCTTTGTATATCCTACCAGGTGGCCCTGGGCAGTCACAGGCAGTGGCTGACTTTGGCCTGCATGGGAACCCCTCCCGAGAGGTCTCAGAACCAACACACCCAGAGGCTGGTGTCGGACCACAATAGAGAGCCACCTGATTAGCCCCACAAGCAGCACACTCAAAGGGTGGTCTTGAAAGGCACAAGAAATCACTGGGGCAAATCCCACTCCATGGGGTCAGCCTCCACACAGCAGCTCATCCCCTGTGGGCATTGCCAATCCTCATGGCCAGTCAGCCTGAGAATCAATCCCATCCACTGATGTGCTAACAGCAATAAAGGCTTAACTAGAACAGAAGTTGCACATAACCCACACAAGGAATACTTCTGGAGAAACCAGCATAAGTGATCAGGAAGACTATACCATGGGGATGCACAGGGCACCTACTACACAAGGCCAACTGACCAAGACTGGGAGATGTAGCAATTCTATCTAATACATAGAAACAAACATAGAGAGGCAGCCAAAATGAGAAAGCAAAGAAACGTGTCCAAAATGAAAGAACAGGAGAAAACTGCAAAAAAAGAACTAAATGAAATGGAGGCAAGCAACCTACCAAATACAGAGTTCAAAACACTGGTTATAAAAATGCTCAATGAACTTAGGGGAAGAATAGATGAACTCAGTGAGAACTTCAACAAAAAGATAGTAAGCATAAAAAAGGACATAGAAACCATAAAAAAAGAACCAGTCAGACATGGAAAATAACAATAACTGAAATAAAAGAATACACTAGAAGGATGAAGCAGAAAATCGAATCAGCGATTTGAAGACAAGGTAGCAGAAAACACTCAATTGGAACAGCAACAAGAAAAAGGAAAAAAAAAAATGAGGAAAGGTTAAGGAACCTCTGGGACAACATCAAGCATCCCAACATTCGCAACGTAGGGGTACCAGAAGGAGGAGAGAAAGAGAACAAGGGATTGAAACCTATTTGAAGAAATAATGATGAAAAACATTCCTAACCTGGCAAAAGAGACATGCAAGACCAGGAAGCATAGAGTCCTAAACAAGATGAACCCAAATAGGCCTATAACAAGACATCATAATTAAAATGCCAAAGATTAATGACGAGAGAGAAACCTAAAAGCAGCAAGAGAAAGGCAGCTAGTTACTTTTAAAGGAGCTCCCATAAGATTGTCAGCTGATTTCAGAACAGAAACTTTGCAGGCCAGAAGAGATCGGCACGAAATAGTCAAAGTGATTAAAAGTAAAGACCTGCAACAAAGACTACTCTATCCAGCAAGGCTATCAATTACAAGTGAAGGAGAGATACCGGGTTTTCTTAAAAGGAAAAAGCTAATGGAATTCATCACCACCAAACCAATATTATAAGAAATATCACAGAGACTTCTTAAGAAGAAGAGGGGAGAAAAGCCCCATAAATATGAATAATTAAATGGCAATAACTATGTACCTATCAGTAATCACTTTAAATGTAAATGGATTAAATGCTCCAATCAAATGACAGGATAACTTAATGGATAAGAAAAGAAGGCCCATACACAGGCTGTCTACAAGAGACCCACTTCATATTGGAAGACACACACAGACTGAAATAAAGGGATGAAGAAGGATATTTCATGCAATGGAAATGAAAAGAAAAGCTGAGGCAGCAATACTTATGTTAGACAAAATAGACTTTAAAACGAAGGCTATAATAAGAGCCTAAGAAGGACATAACATAATGATAAAGGAATCAATCCAACAACAGGACATAACTCTAATAATATTGAGGCACCCAACATAAGAGCACCTACATATATAAAGCAAATATCGACTGACATAAAAGGAGAGATCAACAGAAAAAGTCATAGTAGGGGACTTAAACACCCCATTGACAACAGGGACAGATCTTCCAGACAAAAAATCAACAAGAAAATGACACACTAGACCAGATGGATTTAACTGATACTTTTAGAGCATTTCACCCCAAAGCAGCAGAATACATATTTTCAAATACACAGGAAACATTTTCCAAGATAGACCACATATTAGCCCAGAAAACAAGTCTCAATAAATTTAAGAACATTGAAATCATATCAAGCATCTTTCTCCAACCACAATGGTAAGAAACTAGAAATTAATTACAAGGAAAAATCCTAGAAAATACACAAACACATGAAGACTAAATAACATGCTATTAAACAACAAATGGGTTAACAATGACATCAAGAAGAACTCAAAAGATACCTTGAGACAAATGAAAATGAAAATACAATGACTCAAAATCTATGGGACACAGAGAAAGCAGTTCTAAGAGGCAAATTTATAGCAATACAGGCCTACATCAAGAAACAAAAAAAAATCTCAAATAAACAATCTAGCCTTACATTTAAAAGAACTAGAAAAAGAACAGCAAACAAAGCCCAAAGTGAATAAAAGTAAAGAAATAATAAAAATCAGAGTGGAAATAAACAAAATAGAGTCTAAAAATACAATACAAAAGATCAATGAAACCAAGAGCCGGTTCTTTAAAGAGATAAACAAAACTGATAAACCATTAAACAGACTCATTAAGAAAAAGAGAGGACTCAAATGAATAAAATAAGAAATGAAAGAGAAGTGACAAATGACACCACAGAAATACCAAGGATTGTAAGAAAATATCACGAACAATTATATTCCAACAAATTGGACAATCTGGAAGAAATGGATACATTCCTAGATACATATACTCTTCTAAGA